CTATCTATCTATCTATCTATCTATCTATCTATCTATCTATCTATCTACACACACACACACATATAGTATTTATATATATATATATATACACATAAACATTTTGAATACAGTGTATTGTCAGGGGAAGGGAAATGATTTAGAAAAACAGAGTGGGAAGGGACCTTGGAATGGTAAATATTGAGGTGTTTTGTGAAATAACCTTCACGCCGACCTCCTACCCAAAACCATCTCCCCCCTCCTCCTGCCCACCCACACCCAAAAAAGGATCGAAGAACTTCGATTTAAAGGGTGGGGGGGAGGAAATTCTTCACCTGGCTCTGAAATTGAAATAGCTGGGGGGGGGGAGGGGGCGCGATCTCCCCGCTCTTTTCTTTCCCCCAGGCGAGCTGTTTCAATTGAGGAGTTTGGACTCCCGGAGAATACGGGTCATTGTAACAGCGAGAACAGTAGGCGTGTGATAATAGGCATGTATTTCTTCCCTGAAGGTCACCATTTGCATCCTGATTTATAGCTCCTGAAGGGGGCTAAACCGGCTACAATGCAAACCCCAACGTACGTGCAAAATAAATTGCCCATGAGAATAATCCTCACGGAGAGTTCGGTATATTCGTCTCTTTAATAAAGATCGGCATCAGAGGAATGAGTGTGCATCCTAACTTCCTGGCTTGCTTTATCCCATATTCCCCCCGTCTTGTGTACTTAACTTCCTTTCCCTTCCCTGCATCCTCTTGGTTATACTATGTCCTCTTCTCTATTATACAAGTCTGTGTATAATAGGCATATATAGTAGCTGCCCTTCTTAAGGGGCAAGCAGATGCCCCTTAAAAAGGGCAGCTACTGGGCAATACGACCTCAGGCAGATGCTGCAGAGGAAGCCTCTTAGTGTGTAGCAGATTTATCTTCCATTGCCAAAACAAGCTTTTTGTTCGCCAGATGCAGAAGAAAGCCATGTCAAGCCTATAGTAGCCATAGTAATAAGAATAATTCAGAACAAAAGAATTCAGACTGATAGGCACTTGGCCCACAACACACCTGACATAACAATAGTGGAAAAGAAAAAGGATTGGTTCATTGACGTTGCAATACCTGGTGATGCACGAATTGAAGATAAGCAGCAAGGAAAAAATCAGAAAGTACCGGAACTTACAAATTGAAGTTGAATGACTTTGGAAAAAGAAATTGTGTGTTATCCCAACTGAAATTGGAGCCCTTGGAGCAATACCGAAAGGGCTATTTCACTATTTTGGAAATTTATCAGACTTGAATACCCTGATTCTACAAAAAAAACTACCCTATTTGGAACAGCTTATATCCTCCGACGCTACCTTAACAGTTCCTAGGTCCTTGGTTAGGACTCCAGCTGTTGAGCTACCAACCAGCCCCAAAGGTTGTGAATCTCACCAAAGATTAACTACTTCCACAATAATCATCATCATCAAGGGACTTCAATTTGCTTATTCAACAAATTTATATAGCACCTTTTCAAAGTGATTAGGTGCCATCAAGTCATTTACCAACTGTAGAAAGTTATCACCCTCCCGTCTCCTAGAAGAATGAAATAGTCAAAGAAATATTAAAAAGGCAGAATGTTATACCACCCTGGATGAGAAAAGGAGAAACATGCTCTTGGAAAGCAACCCCCACCTTTCTTAATAGCGCCAGAAAGACTGGTCCATCCTATCTGCAACACAAAAGACCTTCACCCTCAGGACATAATAGGATTAGGCCTCTACCCATCTCAGTACATGGCGCCTGGGAAAATTGCATCACCCAGCAAAATTCAACCAAGCCTGGGACTCAAGACAACCTGCAAAGTTACCCCATATGGTCCCATAGGAGTCTGACAACCAATCAGAATACATTTCTTGCCATAGGAACAGGAAGCAAGTTCAAAGCCCAAGAGAGGGTATAAATATATCTCACTCTCTACTCCATGTGCTCAGCTACCCAGGACTTCAAACCATGTGGTCCTGTCCACCATTAAACCATCTTTCCAATGAATGAATGGATTTTTTATTGGCCAAGTGTGATTAGACACACAAAGAATTTGTCTTGGTGCATATGCTGTCAGTGTACATAAAAAGAAAAGATACATTTTTCAAGAATCCTAAGATACAACACTTAATGATAGTCATAGGGTACAAATAAGCAATCAAATCATACTAGGAACAGTAAAAAAATATTAAGGATACAAGCAACAAAGTTACAGTCATACAGTCACAAGTGGGAGGAGATGGGTAATAGGAACGATGAAAAGATTAATAGTTATAATAATAGTAATCAGCCTCCATGTTTCCAGTGTCTTTCTTCCCACGTGGAACTTGACTCAGATGGACATTTCTTGCAACACAACGTTAAAGTCATCAGCAGCAGTCATCAATATTTTCTGTATTGCAGCAGACAAAAGATTGAAATTTTAGGCTTGGACAACCTTGAACTACACCACCTATGGTTGGACTTAAGCGTAGTACACAAAATTATCTGCTACCATGTCCTACCAGTCAATGACTACTTCAGTTTCAACTGCAACAATACAAGAGCGCACAACTGATACAAACTCAATGTAAACCACTCCAAACTTGATTCCAGAAAGTACGACTTCAGCAACAGAGTGGTCAATGCCTGGAATGCACTACCTGACTCTAACCCCCACTCCTTTAACCTTAACGTATCCACTACTGACCTCACCCCATTCCTAAGAGTCTGTAAGGGGTGTGCATAAGTGCACAATCATGCCTACCGTCCCTGTCCTATTGTCCCCATTTATTCGTACCTATTTCCTGTATTCTTACTCATGTTTATAGTTATACTTGTCTTGTAAGTGATTGATAAATCAAGTAAATAAAATAAATTTTGCTTTTCAGTAAGATGCAGGCAGCGCAGTCAGTTTCACCATCTGAACCCAGGTGGGGGGAGAGAAGGCGTTCAGCTTGGCCTTGGTCTGCCCCTGCCTTTTTGAGAGCTGCGTTACTTGCCAGGCATGTGAACTGAATATTGCAAAGACAAGTGATGTCTCTATTCACAATGGGAATGGAGAGGCTTGATTATAAGAGGGTTCAACCACCTGGGACAATCTCAAGAAGAAAAAGCCAGAAGGGAAGAACCAAGGACATCTCTCTGACACTAGTATAATGCTATTTACAATTGCACCTTTTTAAGCTTAGTTCTTAGCAATGTTTCTAACCAGCCCCAAATACAGCCATGCCTTCTACAGGAAGCAACAATCAACGCAGTCACATCCAGATTTAATTTCCTGATATAAATTATGTTGCTACCAGGTATGCAATTCTGCCTTTCGTAGAATTATTTATTTCCACAGCATTTTTTACTTTCAAGTGAACTTTAATGCACACTGGCATGAGTTGAATCAAAAATGTGTTTCAAGAATTACTTATTGTTTTGGCTTCCATAGATCTCAAATATTTTACAATTTCTTTCCTTCAGTTTTCAAATATTTCTCGGCAGGGATAAAACATGTAGTTTTCGTTTCCTCATACAGATGTGCATTATGATTATTTCCAAACTACGCAGGGCTACCAATTTTACTGAGGTACACTATTTTTGTTTAAAAGTTTTTTTTTTTTAAAAAATGTTAGGGATAGCCTATATTTCCAAGAAAAGAAGGGAACAACAGATTTCCTCTTTTCCCTTTGCTTGTATGGACCAACGGAAGTTTGAAATCTTCCTCTTCAGTTTCATTGGATCATGTATCTAAGGGGATACCACAAAGAAGAGGGCAGGACAAGAAACAATGGATGGAAACTAATCAAAGAGAGAAGCAGCCTAGAACGAAGGAGAAATTTCCTGACAGAACAATTAATCAGTGGAATGTGTCAACCTTGAAGCTGGCCTGGTTGAAGCCATCTTGGAGCTTCAGTGCTGCCACACTGAGGGATAGGGAGGGGGGATTAGAGATAGTTGGGGCTCTGTAGTCAAAACAAAATACTTTCTCTTGAGAATCAAGGACATTTTCACACCTGCCAGAGGAAGGAGACGTGATGTCACCTGACCAGCGGATGCTGCCTTGATTGAGCCATGTGACTGATTGTTTGGAATTGAGGTGAGGGGGACTTTCACTTTTAATTAGGCAAAAACCGTGGGATCCTCAGAGTCTGTTTTCACCAGATACGTGTCAATATGGTATTTCCAATAAAGCTATTCTTTTGAGGAATCTACCTGCCTCAGAGTTTTTGCTTGTGATGGATCTATTACTTGTAACTCTGACAGAATGACTTCTCTTGTGGGTGTTCCAACACTGGAAGTTGAGATTAGACAACCATTGATCTGAAATGCTATAGGGTTTCCTACTTGAGCAGGGGTTAGACTAGCAGACCTCCAAAGCCCTCTCAACTCTGTTATTCTGTTGTTGTTGTTATTAGTCTGAATATATCATTTTATACTTACCTAATAATGGTTAAAATTTGACTAGGAGACTCCAAACAAACAATATTCAGAGCTGGCTCTCTTCTTAGGCCTAATGAAGGAGTCACTTTAGGCTGTAGAGGAAGAGAGTTGGCAAAATGGAGTGAAACTGTGGTATTTTTAAATGTACTTATTTATACCCGCCTCTAGTATTTTTATAAATA